CTTGATAGGCAGTGTTTGGACCCCTGTGCAGCCCTGTGCTGTAGCAACATGTGATAAAAGATAAATCAAAATTAATAATGAGTTGAAGAGGTGTAAATAGGGCCTTAGACCAAAAAAGCTTTATGCTCATGTCCAACACATGCTGAATCAGTGTGTGACATCCACATCAGACACCAGATACTGAGAGAGGCCCCCTGGCTATTCTCACCTTCATGCAGAACCAGACAGAAATGGGGAAGGTCATTATGATGAACAGGAAAGACAGGATGGTCAGAAGCCACTCACAGATGCCCAGACCTGGAGACTTTACACCTAGGGAGAAATTCAACATGACTGTGTTAGGAGAGGACTGCTCCCAAAATACTGATAGCCTGACAAGTGCCTGCACACACAAGCTTCAGTGTTGTCCTTTGCCTGGACTTGGTGGATGTGAATCACTTGTCACTCTCTGGAGGTGAGTTAAGGAACGCTGCCTGGTCCAGGTGGCCAGGAGCTGTGAGGATGGAGGGGCAGATTTTGTCTCCACTTTACCAACAAAAACTGAGCCACGCTTCTCCATAGTTGCTTGACTAGAGGGCAGCCTTTCTCTTGAAGAATTGGGGCTACCAAGCAGTGTTGAAAGGCTTGGAATGGGCAACTTGGCTGAGCTGGGATTCCTGAAACTAATCTGGAAAGATGAGCTAAAAGTAAAGACTGTAAATAAGAGAGAGCTTTCAACATGCACAGCCTGAAGTGCCTTTCCCTATCAGGGCATTTCATGTTGCTTTGGAATAGGATTTTAGTTGCATCTCCTCTCCCTAATGCAGCAGGATAAAGCCACTGGTGCCACTGAACTCCCCCTGTGCTCTACAGCAGTCACACCAAGGTGCTGGGGGCTGACTGGGGTGATCAGCCCCAGATGAATACTACCTGCTACATCTCCCCAAAGGGAGTGTGGATCATCTTGCTTTGGCTGCCCTTTGTTGTGCTCCTGTCTGAAGTAAAATTCAGCAGGTATGGCATGAAAATCAACATATTACTCCTGGATATACTAAAAGCCAGAGAGTGGACCACGATTTCCAGCAGTGAAGTTGGCATCCCTCCCACTTTGAATCCCTTCTAGCCCTTCCATCCCTGCCCCTCTGCCTTTGGAGGTCTCTGCAGAACCACCAGGTCCTGAGAGAGGTTCAGATCCCAAGAACCTGCATGGTCACTAGAGCTCCACAGCACCACTCACTAGCTGTGATTCCTGTAACTGAGGCAGAAAGACGTGTTTGTGCAAAACTAGTTGTCAGAGAGTCAGCAGCACATCTGAACCTTTGTGTCACTCTAGGGCAGCAGAGTTGCTGGCATGGGAGTGCACAAGTGATGCTGGCTCCTGTAATACATGTCTGCCATGCCCTGGTGATGCTGGGTCCAAAGAGGCCCAGACACCTTGCCAAAAGATTCGTGATGCTCCTTTCTATCATGGCGGGCTGGGAATCTGCCTAACAAACACGTGGAGAGGAGCTGCTCTTAAAGATTATCCAGAGGGGAGCTGTGAGTGTGGACCTTAAGGGTAGTTCCTCCCTGCAGTGAGGTCTTTTGGGCTGTGAACTGGCATTAAGGCTAATGCTGTCCACTTGAAGAAGGGGAAGAGAAAAGGAAGAGAACAGAGCTGGGAGGCTGACTGGAGTCTCCCATATTTTGTCCTGAGGATAACCACATCTGTGATGACACCGTGCAGAGAGCAGAGCCATACTGTGACCCACGCAGCATCAACGAGCCCACACTTTCCCAAGCCCTTCCCTTCTTATGTGTCATACCTTCCTCTTGCTGCTCGCTGTCCAGCAATGCCATTGCCTCCATTTCTTCCTCAGACACCACCTCATCCACATCCACCACCGTGGAGGTGTGCACCCTGCCATCAGTCCCCACAGTGCTCTTGGTCTCCTTTGCTTTCTCCTGCTTTATGTCTCCTCTTCCTTTGCTGCCTTCTCTGCTGCTCTCCCTCTTCTCTCGTTTGCTCTGCGTACCCGGGGACTCTCCGCGTCTTCTATGAGACTCCCTGGAAGAGCTCCGAGCCCTCTTATCCATCCTCATCTGCCTGTGGGAGCGGAAAGAGTACGTGCTTGAATTTATTGCCGCAGGCAGGGGAGGAGAGAAGGGGAGGTGTCACATCAAGGAGGCTCATTTCAAGTTCATCGGGGCTTGTCAGCTGTAATGGACAGTGAAGTGAGCGAGGTGTTTCCAGCTGCTCGGCTCTCATCACACCCTGCTGTGGAGATGGGAAGGAAGGTTAAATCTGAACATGGTGGACCCTAGAAGGAAGTTCTGTTTGCATCCTGCTTTGGGGAATAAAATACAATCAGAAGCACTCAGATGATTTTAGTAGATGATTTCTGAGAAGTTGTTGAAAAGCAATCTGAAAGTAACTGTCAGGTGTGTGGCCCCAAAGACCTCAAATGGTGGGAGTGGCCCAGAATTGACATCAGGGTGAAAAATCTTTGCTGGTGAGACCAGTGGCTTACTCAGGAGTGTTTAGAGTGGGTGTTGCAGCAAATGTCTGGGTGAATAGCATCTCACACTGCGCTGCTCTCCAGAAGCCCTTTGGAGGGACACTGGCAGCAAACCCCTTCTCTCCAGGATCACCTCACATTTTTGCAGGGTGGGAAATTAACTGGTCCAGTTCAGCCATGAACTTTCCTGAAAGGATGCAAAGCATGGTGGCCATTCCTGGGATAGAGCTGTTAAATCTAAATTGCCAAAAGAGTTTGTGCCTAAATGCCTTCCTAGTTTTCCACAGAAGGAGCGTGGCAGAGCGAACGTAGGAGCCTTCTCTTTTCATGCTGCTCAGCCTGTGGTGACATCTGCAGAAACCTCTGGAGGAAGGTTTAAAACACTTCTGAAGTGTTTAAAACACTTTTGACATGTTTTAAAGTCACTGACTGTATTAAAGAAACCAGCACCTGGCTAGAAATCATACTACAGGCAAGACACAGCTGGGACATAAGGCAGGGCAGTGCTGAGCTTGGGGATTCCCAGTCTGTAGTGTGGAGGAGTAGCTGGAGGGAGCTGGGAAGCTGGCTGGGGATGTGCTGCTCTTGTTTTTTCACAGATTCCTGTTTTATTGGAGACCTGTGGGCCCACACGGAGTCAGGATATTGCAAGCAGGGAGGGCAGGAGCACCAGCTGCCTGCTTTCTCTGCTCTGACATGCTGGGTGCCTTGTCAGCAAGTCACCAGGGAAGTGATGGATGGAGAGGGCTAAAGGCAGGAGAAAAGTTGGGTGTAAAGGGGGTGTAATTAATAAATTTATACAGTGTATATACTTTGGGAGTGCTCCAGAAACCTTTTGCACTTGGTGTTTATCACTTGGCCAACACGGGATGGGGGAGAGATGGTCTCCAGCTGCTGAAAGGGCAGGTGGTGTTTTAAGCAGCAGCAGCAAACAGCAGCTCAGGTCTGGTTTTGGATTCCTGTTGGTATCTCGTCAAAAGCACCGTGGCATATTTAACACCTCTAAACCTGCAACTTGCTGGTTTTGTTTGATGTTTTATTCAACCAGTGGGTCCCAACTCCACCATCCCTGGAGGATGTTTTTGGCTGCTCCCTTGAAACAGGGGACATGCTCTGGGAGCACATGCTGATGGGTTTGCAACCTTTGCTGTCCCAAAATCTGCAACCTCAGCTCCTGTTTTATTCTGAAACGTATTGCTGTGTGGAAATCAGCTGTGCTGTTGAGAGGGAAGTCTGTGAGCCCTTAGGAAACAGCCACTGCACCACACTTTACCACACTCTGTGGCCTTGGGAAAGTCAGTGTCTCCACTGTGGATTTTCCACTCAGATGAGACAAAAAATACAAGACTCCTTACAATACAAAACTCTTCTTACAAAATACAAGACTCCTCTTAATAACAGTGGGACACTGAGGTGCTGGAACAAGTCCAGAGAAAGGCAATGGGGCTGGGGAAGGGTCTGGAACACAAGTCTGACGAGAAGTGGCTGAGGGAGCTGGGGGGGCTCAGCCTGGGGAAAAGGAGGGTCAGGGGGGACCTTCTCATTCTCTACAACCACCTGAAAAGAGGTTGTAGCCAGGTAGGGGTTAGTGCTTTCCCCCAGGCAACCAGGGATAGGACAAGCAAACACAGTCCTAGGCTGGGCCAGGGGAGGTTTAGGTTGGGCATTAGGAAGAATTTCTTCACAGAAAGGGTGACTAAACATTGGAACAGGCTGCCCACGGCAGGTGGTGGAGTCGCCATCCCTGGAGGTGTTTAAGCAAAGACTGGGTATGACACTCAGTGCCATCGTCTGATTGACAAGGTGGTGTTTGGCCACAGGTTGGACCCGATGATCTTGTGATGTCTTTTCCAAACCCAATCAATCCTGCAGTTCTGTGACACTTCACGTGGGTTTTTTACCTTTTTTTTTTTTTCAGAAGGCGGGGTCAGCGCCTCCGCGCAGGTGGAATCCCCTCCCGCCTCAGGGCCGAGGGAGCGGCAGCCACTCCCCCTCAGCCGCTCCCCCTCAGCCGCTCCGCAATGGCGGCCGTGGGGGGGGGGAGGCCCCGCCCCACCCCGCCCTCGCGCCCCGTAAAGGCGGGAAGGGCGGCGCGCATGCGCGCCGGGAAGGAGGGAGCGATGGCGTCGTGAGTGTGGGACCCGCGGGAGGGCGGCGGGTGTGCCGGGATGGGGCTCAGGGATGACTGTGCGGGACAGCGACCCTGTGAGGCTGGGGGGCGAACCCCGAGGCTGAGGGGCACAGGGGAGCACTATGAAGAGCACCGAGCCCCTCGGGTCGGTGGGGGGGTTTCTCGGGCAGCAGTTTGAGGGCGCAGGGTCTCTGGAGCGGCGGGGATTGTGGAGGGCAGGAGTTTAGGGGTGCACTAAACTCCAGGGGCGCTGGTGAGTGAATACAGGCATTGATAGGTAGTGGGCTGGTGAACCTGCTGCCCGCTCCCCCGTCCAGCTCTCGATGGGAGCGAGTCGGAATTCCACCAGGCTTTGAGCAGCTGCGGTGGTGCAAGTTGTCACTGCTGGCTTGCGTTTCCCCTTTAGCGCAGACACGGCGAAGCAGGCGCAGCTCATGGAGCTGCTGAAGAAGGAGGTGAGAGCGATGCTGATAGCTGCCAAGGAGGGCCTAACGCCGGCAGAGCTGGAGGAGCAGTACATGGCCATGGTCTGCAAACCTCTGCCCCTCCAAGACCTGGGCTTCCAGTCCACCTTGGAGCTGGTGAGACATATGCCTGAAGTTGTCCAAGTCTCTTTTTGTAAGAATGGCACCCTTATCCTCAAAGGTGAGGTTTTGTTGGGTGGAGGAGTTGTTTGGAACCTCGTACTGGTGTGAAGTGATGCCCTGTGTCACATACCTGTTTCTCATTCATCTCTGGTTAACTTCTTGTCTTTGATGTTTCTTCCCCGGTTTTGATCTGCCTTTTAACACTTTCTGTCCTTCTGAGAAAATCACCCAGGCTTCTAGTTATTTTTGTATGTTTTTACATTCTACACTTAGTTTAGAAACTGAGGCAACATTTCCTATGGGTACACTAGAGCTGGTAAACATCACTTTTCCTGTTAATGCAGAGTAGAGTAGAAGCCAAAACCAGGTATGAGGCCTCTCAAAAGAAGCTATAAATGTTTCCCTACCTGATTCCATGGGAAGTTTAGTCTGTATCAAAGAACCTTTTTAATTTTCTTTGGAGAGGAGTTGTGTAAAACAATGGTAGGTGCAAAGAATTGATTGGGAAGGGTGGAATGGTTGGGGGCTTTTTGCATGCTACAGTTAAGACCAGAAAAAATTGTTTAGAAGCATGGAAAAGACCTGGGCTGCTCTCCAAGGAGACCTTGCCTGGGCAGGGGAGTGCTCTGTAGTGGGAGTTTACTGTGATTCTGCTTTCCCAGCAAAACTCTCAGCAGGTTTTGTTTGTGACCCTGCATCCAGGAATTTGGCCTGCCTTCCTACCTGGTGTGAGCTTATAGGGATGAGGGTTCAGACTGGTTGTTGGCTTCTAAAAAGGGTTTTGGTCAGTTTGCTGCTGGAAATCGGCCATGATTTAGTTTGATTGCTTTTGAAGAAAACACCTGCTCCTCAAAAGAGGGGGGAGAGAGGAAAGAAAGGAATGAAGAGGAGCTTTGCCAGTGCAGAGCTTTTAGTAGTTCGCTGTTTTTGTTTGTGTGTTTATTTCCTTCTGTTGTAGCCATTGCAGATGACACCACCAAAGGCATTGCCAAGCTGGTTGCCTGCCAGAAGGGAAGGACATGTACTAAGGCATGGAAGAGAACTCATCTGAAGGCAAATGCTGCTTCTCCCTCTAAGAACTCTAAGAATCCACAACGTTCCCCTCTGAGAGCCAGGACTCCCATCCTGCCAGCGACAGTGAAGGCTGAGCTGCAGGACCTGCTGAGCTCCTCATCTCTTCTGCTCCAGGACTTGGACAAGGCCTTCCTCAAATGCTTTGGCCGGGCGTTCCCGTACAGGCAGTACGGATTTTCTTCTGTGCTTGAAGCCCTCAGGAGTGTGTCTGATTCCATTGTGGTTGAGCAAACAGAGGCAGGTTCTTTGCTGGTCCTGAGACAGTACAAGGCAAATGAGGCAGAGCAGGAAGAGGTACCTCAAGGTGAGGCACAGGACGAAGAGATGCTGCGAGGTGAGGGGGTGTGTTTGGCTGAAAGCACGTAGTAGCTCTTACAAGCTCTGTAGCCAGGCAACTACATTTCAGGTGGCTCTTGCTGTATTTCCAGTTGCTGTAGTAGTCCAGGTTCCCCCAGGTTTTAGCACAGAAGGGCTGTTGTGTGCTGCAGAAGCAGCTGTCACAAGGCAGTTGTCTTGGTAGCTGAGAGTTTAACTGGAATTTTTCAATGTGTTGCCACTGTTTTTTGATGTGAGGTAAAGGAAGAGATGTTTAGCCCTTTCAGAGAATGAACTTTCTGAGTGTGTGTATGTGTAGGACTGGAATTTCTAGTCATTCCACGCAGTAGGTAACAAAACTAGAAGGATCTTCTGAATGTCTGCTCTGTGGGCTGCTGAAGCCTTTCTGATATTCTTTTTGAGACAACAGTAGCCTGAAAGGGACAGCTGCAGTGCTCCACAAGAGAGACAAGACTGCAGATACCTTAAGTGTTCTCATAAAACCTACACTAGAGGGTGGAAAAATCACATAAGAGTTACTGACAATTTCATGGCTTTTTGGGGGAAAATTAATTCTGGCATCTAGCAATGGATTTTAGCACTTGGCATCCTTTTAAGAGCAAGCAATTGTTTTGGTTTGTTTCAGCTTATTAATACAGTGAATCCTCATGAATGTAGTGGCTGTGATTGCTACAAGAAATGAGGAAAACGCCACCAGTGTTTTCAGATGTTTTCTCTTTCTGCTTAATATGCTACACTGCATCAGTGCAATCAGTAAGAATAACAGCCAAAATGTCATCTCTGCAGCTGAGATGCCTCCTTTGGAACCCGTCTGTGAGACAGATAACTCCCCCCAGGCAGCACTTCATCAGAAGTGGGAGCCAGCGGAAACAGAAGCAGTAGATTTGGGTGATCACCTCAAACAAGTAAGTGATGGACAAGTGATCTGTAGATTTCTCATGTCTTATTCAAGTGGGTGATAACTTTTTACTTTGTTGAGTTTGCATTGTTGATGCACTGTTTCCATCTACACTAGTTCAAAGGAAATAATGTTTTCAGCAGTAAGAATAACACAAAATTGACAGCTGTGCTAACAGCTCACTCATACAAATCTATCTGGAGTAAGAAGAACAAAGCTTGTATATTTTGTTTGGTTTTGTCCTTGGGAAATAGCTCTAGTGTGAAAGTGGGATGCATTTATGCCTTCTGTCACTTCTGAGTCATTTTCAGATAGTTTTCCTCATTCAGTCATACTTTTTTGTGGTCACAAAACATAGAAATAACATCTTTCCAGTAAAATCTAGCAAAGAGGTGGGTTTAATTCGGTTTGGGTTTTGGTTTTTTGGTTTGTTTGTGGGGATTTTTGTTTTGTTGCGCTTTGCTTTTTTAGCAACAGCCATTTACTACTTTTATCTAAATATGTGACGTGACTTCAGTTCATCTCCTTTATTCCTTGTAGGATTATGAGCAAGGTATTTTTGTTGTACCCCTCTTTACACTGGAGGGAAGGAAGAGAGAGAGTGTGAAAATGAGTGCTTCTATCACAGGGAAAGTTTGGATCTAAGTTTGTGCAATTTGTTGGGATTCTCTGATATTCAGTAATTCACAGGTCCCTGGGAAAACAGAACTATCTTTTTTAACTTACTGGAAAGGCCAGTTGTGTGTGACCAGTGTGTGATGAGACATCTGAGTGCCACCTTCCTCTTATCCCTTTGTAGCCTCAAGATTGTCAGCAGCTGCTACCAAACAAGCTGACACTGACTGAAGAAATCCTCCCAGATGCTGTTCAGGACAGAAGCCTTTGCAGTTTACCACCCCTGAAGAGAAGGTCCTTGGTGGGAGTCGTCGTGGAATTCGTCGTCTCTCCCACCCAGTTCTACATCCACATCTGCGGCAGGGAAACATCCCACGACCTGCAGGATCTGATGTTTGAGATGAGGTGGGAGCATGTTGTGCCAATGCAGTGCTGCTGCCTCTGGTGTGTGTGTTTGTGTCGAGGGAAGAGGGCACCAGCTGTTGATGATGGTCAGTGCTGGCTTCATTACTTGGTAATTGGATGCAGGTGCTGTACTGAAACCCCTACTCATCGTGCTTATCCATTCCTCTTAACTAACAAGCAGTGAGTGTGTTCAATAGCAAAATAGTCTTAGGCTGTTCTGGACTTCAAAAGCCTGGAAAGATTATGGAGAGGATCTTAAAGGGTTCCTTTGCCTTGTGCTACTGTTGCTAATGTGCTCAGTTAAAGCTTTTATTTCCATTTCTAACCCTTTGAGCCAGTACTCTGGAACTTGGTTCATAAGAAACAATGACATGTAAAGGTACTGTTAAAAAATTAATGATTAGAATGACAGTATTTAGCCTCTGATTAATCCCCATTAATTAACTTTTTGTCGGACCCCAAGAATATCATTCAAATGTTAAAAGTTTGGGTTTGAATTTTTTTGTTGCCATTGCATTTCAAGTGTGGGAGAACAGAGATATAAAGGATCTATCGAAACAACTCCTGAAAATTCATGTCATGCGGACTTTGAACAATCAGGATTCTTTTGATGCCCCATGTGCTTGTTCATGTCCTGCATCCTACTAAGCAGAGTTTCTCCCTATGATCTTTTACAGACACCTTTACTCACATAAACTCGTCTCTGATAAATACATCATGCCTGACTCCGCAGTACGGCCTGGACAGCTCTGCTGTGTAATGGTCTCCAAGTGGTGGTACCGTGTTATCATCCACCGTGTGATCAGTGACCAAGAAGTGGAGGTGTTCTATGCAGATTATGGACACCTCCAAATTGTCCAAAAGTCTTGGCTGAGATTCCTCAAGTAAGTACATTGCACGTGGGCGGCAGAACAGCTGAGGTTGGATTAGACTTCCGGAGGCCATCCTGTCCAAGCTCCCTGCTCAAGTGGAGCCGTCTGGAATAGACTGCCCAGGCCTTGTCAGGATGGTTTCTGAATGTTTCCAAGGTTGGAGACTTCATGACCTCTTTGGGCAACCTGTTCCAGTGCTTGCTCACTCTCATGGTAAAAATGCCACTTTCCAGACAGCTAGCCCCAGGTGTGTGCTGGTGTGTGGTGGTGTTCCTCTCCAAGTGCAGGACTTTGTGAGGTTCCTGTCTGCCCATTTCTATCCTGTCAAGATCCATCTGGATGGCAGCCTGACCCTCTGGGGTATCAGCCACTCCTGCCAGTTTTGTATCATCAGCAGACTGAGGGTAGACTTGCCCAGGTCAATAATGAAGATGCTGAGCAATGCTGGACCCAGCATTGACCCCTGGGGTACACTGCTAAATCCTTTCCTGTTTCTGCCTTCACTCCTCAATCTGTCCTCTTGCTGCTTTCTGTCACCTTGGGGCAACCTCCCTAATCCCCCTTCCTGTGTTCCGTGAATGGATATAAACATTCTCCTGAAGGGACATCAGTCCAAGTGGGACACATTTGTGGTGCCAGAGGTACTTGTTCTCTGCAGTTCAGCACATTTTCCATATTTGCATCTTCCCCCTCATTTGCCTTTCTTCATGCCTGGCTGTTGGCATTCTTTGGTTCAATGGTCATGGCTCTCCATCCCTAGCTTTGTCTCCACAAGGAGTTCTGATGGGAATGTGCTTGGGCCAGGGAATGTGTAAGGTAGCAGCTGTTACTGCTGTTTCTGCTCTGCCCATTCTCTGGATATGGAGCGTTTTCCAAAGCTGCTGTTAGGTTTTAGTCATAAGCACACAATCCAGTGTATGCCTCTCTATTCCTAAGCTGATATTAAAACCCAGAAGAGGAGAGAGTTCTGCTCTGCTGCTGATTTTTCCCTATTTTTGCAGTAATGGCTTTTCTTTGTATTGTAGGTGGCAGTACTTGAAGCTCCCTGCTCAGGCCATCCCGTGTTCCTTGGCATGGGTAAAACCTGTGGAGGTACATGTTCACATGCAGTTTTGTTTATTGACATATATACAAGAGTTACCAAATAGAAGTTGTCTGTTTTAAAAAACAGACAAAAAGTTGTCTCTGTTTTAAAAAACTCTTCTCTTTAAGTGCAGTCAGCACAGCCAAAGAGTTACAGAGGTCATAAAGTTCCTCTGTGGTGGGAAACCTTTTGGTCAAGAAGCAGAAGTACAATCTCTGAAGGAAAGCATGTGAGCAGAGTTGCTGCCTCTGTGTGTTTTAAAGATGCTACTTTAAAAAAGTTGTTTCCTCTGGGTTTTGAGAGTTAATCACGATTTTCATTGCAGTGAGGCTTAGCAGCTTCTTAATAACTTCTGATACTTCTGACAACTGTAAAATCTCATGATTCCAGGAATTGAACAAAATAAACACCAAACAACTGTATTTTAGGCAGTTTTGATAAAATCACTGGTGAATGCCATTGGACTGTGTTTGGAAGTGGGTATTTAAGGTAAAAGGGCAATCCCAGTGTACCCAGCATTGCAGGCTTTGGGAGTAGTTTGGTTTAGTTCTGTGCTGGGAAGCTGGTCTGCCTGACTTTCCTGTATTTGTCACTGGCCTGGCCTGGCTCAGTTGCCTTTTGACAAGTGCCCTCCACCAGGAAAAGTGTCAGGTGGTGGGCATTGGCCTGTTTATAGTAACTTCATGTCCTTGTTTTCTCCTTCAGGGTACGTGGTCTCCTGCAGCAACTCTCCTGTTCAAGAATCTCTGTGGCTTCAAGGAGCTTGTGGGCATTGTGGATGAATATGTGGATGGCGTTCTGCACCTCTTCCTCTGTGACACATCCACCAAGGAGGATGTCTACTTCCACTCTGTCTTGAGGGATATGGGATATGCTGATGTCTGTGGAGAGAACATTCCTTCCCAGGTCAGGAGGGAGGCATGTGCTGCTGAAAGGAAGGGCGAGGAAAGGACCCCTGTAATGGGAAGATCTTTACCTTGAAGCAAGTAGTTTTGTGAAGAGCAAAACTGGTATTCCCCGCTTTCCTGTAGCTTACCATTTGTGGCTGCAACCCACAGTGTGTGTCTCTCTATGGTGAGAGCTTGCTTTTTGGTTAAGGTGGAATCTGATGATACAGCAGAGATGTTCTGGTTTAGCAGAACAAATTATTTCCACTGCCTTCTGGCAGTGGATTAGAAGTTGATTAGCTTGGTAGTGTTGCAGTTTCAGCTGACACACATCTTGTAGAGGTAACAGGGAAAAGTAAAATCTGTGCAGGTGTTCTGAGCATAAGGCCAAACTGAGATGGAATTGAGAGGTTAAGAGATGTGTTAATTGATTCATCCAGCCAACTAATGAGAGCTCAAGTTCATTAGATTATATTGTATGACTTAAAGTAGTGCTACATCGTGAGCAGTTGAGTGAGGAACACTCCCATCTTCAAAAGGGGATAAGAAGGAGGACCCAGGAAACTCCTGGCTGGTCAGCCTCACCTCCATCCCTGGATGGGTGATGGACCAGGGCATTCTGGAGGTCATCACCAAGCATGTAGAAGAAAAGGTCACCAGGAGTGGTCAGCATGGATTTACCAAGGGGAAACCTTGCTGGACCAGTCTGATAGCCTTCTGTGACAACATGGCAGGGTGGGTTGATGAGGGGAGAGCAGTGGGTGGGGTCCACCTCGACTTTGGACTCTGTCTCCCGTAACAGCCTCGCAGGTAAGCTCAGGAAATGTGTGTTAGGTGAATGGGCAGTGAGGTGGATCAACAACTGGCTGAATGGCAGAGCTCTGAGGGTCATGATCAGCGGAGTAGAATCCAGTTGGAGGCCTGGAGTCAGTGGCATTCCCCAGGGATGAACAGTGGATCCAGTCTTATCTTTATCAATGACCTGGAAGAAGGGATAGAATGTACCTTCAGCAAGTTTGCTGATGATACAAAAGTGGAGGAGTGGGTGATACACCTGAAGGCTGTGCTCCCATTCAGGGGGACCTTGACAGGCTGGAGAACTGGGCAGAGAGAAACCTAATGAGGTTCAGTAAGGGCAGTTGTAGGGTCCTGCACTTGGGGGGGGAATAACCCCAATACCAGGTTGGGGGCTGACCTGGAGAGCAGCGCTGTGGAGAAGGACCAGGGAGTGTTGGTGGATGACAAGCTGTCCGTGAGCCAGCAGTGTGCCCTGGGGCCAGGAGGGTCAATGGGATCCTGGGGTGAATTGGGAAGAATGTGGCCAGCAGGTCAAGGGAGGTGGTCCTGCCCCTCTACTCAGCCCTAGTGAGGCCACATCTGCAGTGCTGTGTCCAGTTCTGGGCAGGTTCCAAGAAGATGGTGCCAGACTGTTTAGTGGTGCCCGGGAACAGGACGAGGAGTAATGGCCATAAACTAAAACACAAGAAGTTCTACCTCAGCATAAGGAAGAACTTCATGTTGAGGGTGGCAGAGCACTGGAACAGGCTGCCCAGGGAGGTGGTGAAATCTCCCTCTCTGGAGGCATTCCAAACGCACCTGGATGCGTTCCTGTCACCTGTTCCGGGTGACCCTGCTTTGGCAGGGGGGGTTGGACTGGATGATCTCCAGAGGTCCTTTCCAACCCTGATAATTCTGTGATACTTAAATTATTTTGGCCTTCCGTGCTGTGAGCACTGAAGGTTGGTTATGCCATTAGCAAACTGAGCTATGGAAATTGTCTTGCTTTAAAAACTCTTCCTTTGCCAGTGAAAGGTACCGTGTTGGACAGTGTAACCGTGGTAGATTGCCTGCTGTGCCTCAGACAGACATTCCAGTTGTAAACCAGTGCAGAGGGCATTTGTGCTTTAGGCTCCTCTGTGTCACTATCTGCCTGTGTCAGCTCAGTTTCAGTAAGAACTCTGTGGATGATGAAAACCCTTGGAAAGGTACTGCCATGATTTTATATCTCAGCAGAAAACTGGGCTTTACAACCTGGAATGCTTCTATCTGTTGCTTCCTTCAGTAGATGCAGAAAGCATGTTTTGGCAGGATTAGATCCTGTCATCATATTTTTTTCCACGTGTAGGTCCACTTTTGAAGGGGAGAGGGGCATTGCTGAGAAATTTTGCTGCTGGCAGGAGGGGAGTTGATTTTCCTAGGAAGGCCATTTCTGCAAGAATTTTGAGCTCACTTGTGGGTGTTGTGCTTCTCCATAAAACCTACTAGAGGTTTGCTGAATCGAATCCTTTTTATTCTTTGTGGTGGTTAAAACATGGGCTTTTCTCCTGTCCTGGTGTGTTTTTATTTGTTCCTAGGAATTCAAGGAACTGAATCCTTTGGCCTTATATGTTCAGCCCAGTGGAGAGCAGGAGAATGCTGAACTGGTGGAGCCAGACCTTTGCTTTCAGCAGGAATCTCTGGTTGCAGATAGTGAAACAACATCCTCAAAGCTGGATGGGGCTGAGCTGTGTGACCAGGTGAGAGTTGGCTGTGGCACAGCTATTGTTCCATGAAATCAGCTCCATGTGGCTGAGAGGTGGGTGACCATCCCTGAAATGTAAGTTTAATTTGAATTCTTAACCAAAAATGCAGAGGGGCTTCCTCTGACTCAGTTCCTGCTTCCTTGCAGAAACTCCCTCTGTCATTGCCACCACTGGTTCTGCGTGGGGCTGCTGAGAGATGAGCCAGCTGTTGATTTCTTTCCTAAGACATGATGCTTTGTATCTTGTAATCTATCCCTCTTTTCAGCTTGCTGTGCAGGAAAAGCTGCCCTTTGGCCAAGGGAACTAGGGGTTTGTTGTTGTGTAGTTTTGTTGGTGTGGTTTTTTAATCATCCAGTTGCTGACATTCCAGTTTTTTGTAAATTTTTAGAGATAATAAAGATCAGGGTAGCTAATGAACTGATTGTGCACTAATTGCACCCTCTCTTGATTTTTTTTTTTTAATGTACATTTGCAGACACCTCATTCTCTTGGAGAGTCCTCTGTGCCTGCTGTCTTAGTCAAGTCAGTGGAAGATCTTTATACCTCCTTTATTTACTCCAAGCAACCAGCAGAAATGAGGCAAGATGACCCTGATCAGATAGAAAGATTTTTGAAGCAAGGCCCAACTTTCTGAAGCTGTACATCCTGCTGTTCTGCTCATGGCAATGCCATTCATGCTGGGCACCCCTAACAGTATGGGTAGATTTGTCAGTCAGAGTTCACACAGCAGGAAGCTGAGCAGTCTGTTACCATGCCATGAGTTTTGCAGTCCCTGTTGGGTATCCTAGGGCTGGTGCTGCTGGAACAGATGGACGTGTTGGTGTTTCTGTGGGCTGGAGGTGCCACAGTAATAAATGGCTGGACGCAGTGCATCGGTTTGGCCTTTGTGCAGCAAAATGGATTTCTAATTGTTTAATGGGAAGAAATGAATTGAGGGTTAGTTCTTTCATTGCTGGTTTTTGTTGTCTTTTCTAGACTTTCTGCTGCTTTCATGCAGAAGTCTTTGTTTCTCCACTCCATACTGTGTTCATTTCATACTGAGTCTCCCAGTCTCTCAGCCGTAAGGGACTAAAGCATTTTGTAAATCCTGTGAGGTCCCTGTGTGGGTGTTTGTCTTCCATCTTCCAAATGATGAAAGAATTTATAACACCCCTACGAGAGTTGCTCGATTTACAAGGTGGATTAAGTGCCTTGGTGAAGGCAATGAATTTTTGTGCCTTGGAACAGAGCTGTCTGCCTTCTCTTTGGAGTTCCCTAGACACAAGCTACCGATTTCCCACCTCTGGAGAAATGGAGGTGGAGCAGCTGGGGGACAGGGAGAGAGGTCCTTGGGTTATACCATGTCCAGCTCCTCAAATAGGTGTGCAGTAGCAAGTCCTCTTGCCGTGATCTGGTAACATCCAGCAAAGGGGATTTCAGTCTAAACTGGAGCTCCTGGATTTGCCAGTGTAGATTTGATCTTTCTTTTCTGTGTCCTTCCTGTTGCAGGTGAAGAGAACATGAAGAATGAAGACCTTCCCAGGAGTTGGCCTCTGTGGAGCCAACCTCACAGACTCCATGTCCCTCCTGCCACACTCTCTGCAGTGTTGGCAGCTGCACGATTGGCCACTTCCCATGCCCACTTCCAGTGGCTCCCCAGCCTAGGAAGGCAGGTGTGAGAAGAGGGGAGAAACTGGAGCTGCTGCTGAGGAAGGCTGCTGGGAGCAGCACAGACTCTCTCTATGACCATGCTGTTGGGTTGGTTTTTTTTGGGTTTTTTTTTGGTTTTTTTTTTGTTCACAAACATTTAATCCCTTGAAAAACTTTTTGGGTCTGACATCTCAGGTGGACTAGGTGATCCTTAAAGCTCTCTTCCAACCCAAACCGTTCTATCGTTCTGGTTTTTTTTTAATTTCAGCATTTTGGGTTTGATTTGGGATGTGAAAGTGCTAAAAGTGTTAATTTTACTTTCAGGAAAATAGTTTGGGTTTGTATTTTTAGTTTCAGGGAGATACTTTATTTTTGTTGTACTGGTGGTCTACTGAGTTACTGCTCTTTAATATAGTGGTTCAGGAGAACATCTAAGTGTAACATTGTGTTCTATATCCTTTAAGTTTAGGAGAGGGAAACTGGCTGCCTATCCCTCCCTCCCTCAGTGCATGAGCAGTTTTGACATTGGTTTTTAAGACAGTGGGTGCTCTACACACTCCTTGCTCTGAGGAGGGCTGAAGAAACCTTCCCCAAGAAGAAAGTGCTGTGATTTGTTGAATGCCATGTATACAAAGCATCAGGAATTTCATCTCACATATAAATAAAATTGTAAAGAATCTAGCAAGAGAAAGCTTGAAGCGTGACACTGTCCATGTTTATATAGCTGTGTGCCTGTGGCAAGTAATCCTGATGAGTGTGAGGTTGTTAATGCAGAGAAAAGCAGTGAAAACAGAAGGGCCCTGGTTAGGAATGCTGGCATTCAGCTGGTTTACGGGTCCCTAGACTGTCCCTCAGGGCTTCAGGGCCTTCAAGGGCTTGATTGGACTAGGTGATCTTTAAAGCTCTCTTCCAGCCCAAACCGTTCAATGATTCTATTGTTTTAATTTCAGCATTTTGGGTTTGGTTTGGGATGTGGAAGTGCTAAAAAAAGGAAATGTAGGACTTGTTAGAGAGCAACTACTGGGAAAGCTAATGAAGGAGGTGAAAGCAGAATGGTGAAGAGCTGGGGCTGTCCAACCCAGTGCAGGGGTAACCTGACTTCTCTGGTGCCGTGTTTGGGCCGGGGGGCTCATTGCACATGTTTGTCATCCATCCCCTGTAACGGAGCTGATGTTGCTCGGGGATCACCCCCTCTCCTGCAGGACCCCTGTTTGGTTTCAGGGAGGTGAGAACTGGGGCTAGGGTGGGGTGTCCCGAGGAGACTCCCACACCCTCCTCTGCCCCTCCTTGGGCTGCAGCAGGGGCTGGAACCCAGAGGGGCTGTCACCCTGTCCTTGCTGCTGCTGGATCGCTGCTAGATGGCAGCCGAGGCCAGCACTCAGCTGCTCAGCTCCCTGCAGCCTAAAACTCCTCCTCCCTGGGGGTCTGGGAGGGCGAGGGAGATGAGGAGCTGAAGAAGACTGGTGAGTGAGCAGTGCCCCCATTCCTGGCTGGGGCTGTCTCTGTCCCCACTCGTTTCCTGGGGTGTGGTGGGGGTGTAACAGGGAACTTTGGGGATGGGTCCCACTGCTGCTTGGTGAGGGCTGTCCCAAGGAATTGGAGATTAGGAGATGCTGTGGGGGCCTGGAAGGGGATGTGTGGACACTGGGAGCTTAACATGCTTGCAGAAAGGGAGCAGCGTTTCCCTTCCCAGAGCAGTTTGGCTCACATTCCTCATACCCAGCAGGCCCCTGTTTGTACATTTGTTGCCTAAGGCAGTGGAAAAAGAGAAAGATGCCTCAGGGACTGCAAAGTGATGCTGTATTCATGTCCCTGCTCCTGGGCATTGCCGTGCCAGTGCCAGGCGGTGGGGAGGGAAAGGTGGCTGTGCCAGGCATCAGGGTAAACCACCTTATCAATTTTGGGGGAACCCAGCCCCATAGAGGTGTCTGATGGAAGGATTAAGGTGCTCTGCAGATGTCATCTTCCTACTGGAGGGGTCAGGAGTGCCTTCCCCATCCTCCCTGAGCAGCATCTCCATGGAACACTGGGGTCCCTTTCACTGGAGTGCCTGGTGTGGGTGCCCTTCATCCCGAGGTGTGTGTGTAAAGGGGTCCTGCTCCTCCAAAGGAGCTTGGGGTGGAGCTGCTTCCCTCTCCTTTGCCCCTGGTTTCCCCCTTCCCTGTAGCTGTGGGGCAGCCATGCTGCCAGCAGAGGTTATCGACTGGGAGTCCTCGGGGCGAGGACCAAAATGTTTAGAGCAGATTAAAAATTGAAAGGCTTTGCAGCTCTCCCTAAAAGCCGGGGTTAAGCAACACACCGGCGAGGTGTGTGCTCAGGGGACTCGCTAATGGACTCGGGTGATGCCAGGGGTCTGGGGTCAGCCCTGGCAGGTGGATGGAGCTGGGGCGGGTGGCTCTGCTCCCCGCTGGGGGGGTGGGAAGCAGGTGATGGAAACGTGGTGTCCCCGTGGCTGGGGCCATGTATGTAAGAGCAGAGCCAGACCTGGACCACCTCAGGAAGGATCCTGGGGTGTGGGTGAGTCTGGAAAGGGTGAGGAGCGATGCTCTGGGCAGGGATTTTGTTTTGAGGGGTATGTTTATGGAAAAGGTTCTCCTGGCACCTGCAAGCGGCTGCCTGGCCGTGGTGGTAATCGGGTGCTTTGAGTTCTAAGAGGGCTGTCAGGAAGTATTTGGCTGGGGAGGAGGATGGAAGGTGACAGCTCGCTTCGGATGAGCACAGCGCTGCAGAGGTGGCCAAACACCTCCCTCACGGTGCTCTGGGTTGCAGGAGGGCTGGGCAGAAGCTTGGGGTACCCAGGCTGAATGCTGGGGACACAGAGGTCCCAGGCTGGCCCTGTGGTGGTCTCTGTGACTGGTGCCATCTCAGCGAGGCTGAAATTTTCCAGATTCATGCATCAGCCCATCCCTCCCCACCCCTCTGCACTTTTGAGTGCTCTGGAACATGGGGTTCAACTGAGCAAATCATTTGGACTTGAAAACCAAAATTGAGTGCTTCTGACCCTAAAAACATTTGTCTTTTTATTTTTAGATGTGGGGTTTTTTCAGATGGAAATTGAATCGGTTCCTGGTTTGGGGAGGATAAAAGTGCACTCAACCTTGCATCAGATTGTTTCACTTGACCCACGAGTAAATGCTTTTCTTTCCTCTGACCTGGAAGGATTTCTTTTTCTTTCCATTTGGCAAGAAAAACGGGAAAGCCAATTCTTAGTACAGGTCACTGCAAAATAAGGTCTGGAGCTGGAGCTTTTCAGCCTGAGTGCTGTGCCAAGACCCGTCAGCTTTCCCACTGGTCCCTGGAGTGGTTCCCTTTTTCTTGCAGTAAAAAGCCCTGGTTTTCCCTTGCATTTTGCTGGGAGCAAATGACTGCCGGGCAGGAGAGCAGCCTCTGGCTGCTGGGTTTTGGATGAGCAGAGATGGGGATGGTGCCTGTGCCTTGCTGAATTTTTGGAGGGTGACAGAGGCCACCCCTGGGATGGGTCATGCAAGCTGACCAACACTTCATCTCTGCAAAGGCCCGTCTGGGTGGATTTGGGGGGAAATGCTGAGATAGTCCTGCTGGCAGGAAGGAGGATGAAGGAGACCTGTGGCAGCAGTACTGCTGGAGCATCCCAGGGTTGGGAAATGGGTCAGTGCTGCCATTTAGTTGAAGCAGGGCTGTGCTCCTGGGCCTGATGCTGCCTGCAAGGGTCTGTGCACACCCCATCCCACAGAAATGGGGGCTGTGGGTGTCCTCCTGAGCACCCACTGGCATCCAAGTGAGTTCTCCCATCTCCTCTCCGTCTTGGACGTACCTGCTCAGATGATGTTTCCAGAGTCAGTGGCACCACTCCAGAGCACGCAAAGGAGAGGGAGAAGAGGAGGTGTCCTTGGTGCTGTGGGATGCCTTGAGCTCTCAGGCAGCAAGAGGAAGGGGCACATGGCATGGGCTGTTCTGCAGCCAGAGTTTAGGACCAGTTGGAATTGGGGCTGTTTCTGGTGAAACCCTTTTCTGGTACTGCCTGGGGGGTGGAAATTGGCTCCTTCCTATTGCCAGTGAGTTGGTCAGGGCAAGCAAGGGGATGGATGAGGTTCCCCCCAGCCCCTGCTGCCCTCACCCTACATGTGTGTGTGGGCTCGTCACCCCCTCCCCACTGCCAGGAGGTTTCTGTTCTGATTCGGCTCTTCCAGGGCAGAAGCTGATTGCAGAGGGGTTGTGATCTCACTTGTGCTTTTAATCCCACTGCTGTCAAGCTCCATTAGGAGGTTTGGCATCATCTCGCTACCTCTGGGGCCAGGACCAGCCTGAAATGAGGACAAGTCTGGGCTATGCTGGAGCGGGCAGGGGCCAGGCAGGCAGGGATGCTTTAGGGGCCATAGCTGCCCCCACTACTCTCCCCAGCACTTCCAGACATTGTGGGGGCTGCAAGGAGTGTGGGACCGGCTCATTTTGGTGGCCTGGCCACTTTGGGAGCAGGATGGAGAGGAGTTGGGATGGCGGCAAGCGCCGCTCCCCAGGCACTGAGGGTGCTTGAAAACCTTTCGGTGCTGCAGCCTCAGCCCACGCTCTGCTCCAGCTGCATTTTGGTAACCCATGGATGACCTCCCCGTGCTCCCACAGCACGTGTGGCTGTGTCCAGGCTGCGTGAGGCCGGGCATCCCGCCCCGTGCTGCCGCATGCGGCTCCCGGTGCACCCGGGGGTAACGCAGCCGGAGAAGGTGATTGCGGGAAGGGAAACTAATGGGCCAGAAACTGGGGCTGAACATCCTTCCCAGCCTCCCAAAGTGGGCTGCACGGCTCGGCAATGTGAGGGGAAGGTGCTGTCGCTCATCCCTGTCCTGGCCACCGATGCCCCGTGAGCACCTCCCCGGATTTCCAGGCCTATGTGCTGCAGGAAGGCTGGGGCTGCCTTGGGAGCAGCCCGGCTCGTCGTGGCTCTCCTGAGTTTGTTCATAGCAGCTCCATCTGCCCCTGGGTTTGCAGCTACTTGGGAAGGAGCTGACATATGACAGGAGCATGAAGAAGAGCAGGAAAGATGGGAATACAGATATCTGGATCCCTACAGGTTCCTGGGGGGCTGGCTGGGTGGTCATCAGGGTAACTTCTCAATTTTCTCTATCTCCCTCCCAGCTATGCTAGAGGAGAGTAGAGCTGGGCTCATCTGCCCGCAGCCAGTGATGGGGTTTGGCAGGCACTGCTGTACTGATTATGGCCAGAATGTGGCTTTGAAAGGCTCCTGTGCAGTCAGGGAGGTTGGGAAGGGCTCTGCTGGTAAAAGAAAGAGAGGAGAAAACCTTCCAGGCGCTCCACCACCTTGGGGGTTTCAGCCCTGCCCTGTGCTGGGGCTTAAGGTTCTGGTTTGGTTGGGGTAGCACCTCTGCACCCACTGCTCCTTGCTGGTGGCTCCTGAGCTGTCTCTGGCCAGCACAAGCCTGGCTTCATCCCTGTAGATTTGCCCTGTGCTGCTCTGTCACATGGATGTCCTGTGGGTGATCCCTGGGAGGATGCTCCAACCAAACCACAGAGCTTGTTACCATGAGCCTGTAGAAGTTGTCGGTGTACGTGTGGTAAGGTCACACTTGGCTGGAAGGAGTTAATTTTCTGCTCTGTCCTTCCTTCCCATTCCCATCACCCAGTCTCTCCCTTGTGCTGGGGTGGGCTTTTCCCTGTGCCTGGTGTTGGCCCTGCTTAGAGCCAAATCCCTCAAATCCCACAGGGC